TATATTTATATATGTTTCAGATCTATTAGCATTGAGACACTGAGCTTAAATTAGAAAAAAAATTATGGTCGGTAAAGTGGTTTTGAAATAATAATCGATTCGGACTTGCAGTGGTTCATCTATGCCAGTGGTTCCTCTACGCCAGTGGTCCCCAAACTGCTCAGTAGTTCCCGGCCCCCGGAACCATATTATGGAGCCCGCAAGGCTTCATTAGAAAATTGTGAATTATTTGGGATTGTGTTTTAGAGTGAAATTAATGAAAATATGTTATAACTTGATACAAGTGTCGTGTACAGGACGTGTACATTTACGCCAGATCGGGCCCAGAGAGAGAGCCAAGCCTTCTCATTGGGATAAATACACCCGTCATGCCCAAGAGTAAATGTAAAAAGTAGGTAACTGGTAACAGTTGGACGTGTAAAACTGCAAATAACTGTACAGTATACTGTATATGAGATTTTTGTCTTGAATGTAGATAGAAAGTTTTGGCGCCTTCCACTATAATTACAATAATAAATGTGGCCCAGGGCCTACAAAAGGTTGGGGACCAATGAATTCTACAGCAAGGTCTATATAGACCTTGGTCTAAAGGGCGCCGGTGTTACTAGGCTCCCCGTGGCCTACTTCTACAGCATTGTATATCGTTGGTGTATGTTGAATATGTTGTTGCTGTTTTCTCTACGGTTATTCTCACTTATTTCCAGAGGTAACGCTAATCTCTCGTATCAATATTTTTGGGGTAGGTATGTCAGTCAAATTTACTCTCCAGGTTTGAAGCGGGTCATATTAATCAGTTCCAATCGTAAACTCGTGCTCCACATTTGGTAACGGCCACGAATGATTGTGTCCAATGTCGGTGACACGCACACTTGTACTCGAAACGATAATGTAGTTAACGCGTACACATACAGTTCAGTCATAATATGTACTATAAGAGGTATATTAGTAGTTGCGGGTAAAGGTAAAAACAGATTTTTGAGACAATTCTGGCAACGGTCCAAGGTTACGACGGGCGGCCGCCGCGTCGGCCAGCAGGGCTTGACAGCGAGTAGCTAGCCAACCGGTCAACCATGCTGAAGCTCCTCGGTCCTCTCCTCACCCAGCGGGCCAACGTCTCCTCACCCCAGTACATTCATCAATCATCACCCATCCGTGGTTGCGCAGTCTACTACTTCTCTCCATTATGTTTTCGCGTTCATTATACGTCATCCCAGCATAATTTATTCTGAATTTAACCACACCCTGCCCACGTTGCGCTTTTTCTTGTTTGTACATAAATTCTACTACAGTATTCTTTTTTTACTGTCTCTAATACAACTTTCTACCTCTTATTTATCAACCTTACAGCGTTTAACCTGTCGGCACATTTCTGAAGCAACTCTACCTTGAGATCACATGAAGGTTAGGGACACCAATTTATTTAACCTGGTTAAACAAACTAACGTTAACCCCCGGGTAAAGTCAGGATGTTTAATTATCAGGTAAAGTAAGCTGGTGTGCCTTATCTTCAGATGATCTATGGCATATTCTATATTTTGTGGATAAGATTAACCGCGAATTATTGTGATTTCACAGAACTCGTAAAATATGTAATCAATCTTTTGGTTAGGTTAAATATTTGTCAGGCTCAGAGTTCTGTTAAGAACTGTGGCGTAAATAGATAAGGCGTCTAATCAGTTACATCAGAATTTCGTTGATATTGTACTCGAGGGGTTACGTCATCTTAATCGAGGTTAAGTTACCGTACTCAATAGGTTGACATCGTATATACTGAGTTTATGGTCTTCGTACTCAAAGGCTTTTACTTTATTCTCACTGCCACTGACCGCCTTGTTTACCGCTCGGGTGATCGAACACATCTGTTGTACGAGCTGTTGGCAAGTACTGGTCTTGTATTGGTACCAGAATATATCCGTACCTGCGCCAGTGTTGGTCAAGCCTGGTACTCTCGAATGAGCTCACACTCGAATATTCGTGCTCAAGGAGTTAAGTCATCGTATTCAAGGTGTTAAATAATCGTACCAAAGGAGTAAGTCATCGTATTTATGGGGCTAACTAAGTATCTTATAAAAGATAACTTCACGCTTCTCATTATCCCATATGCCTATTTTGATTACCTCTGTCCGCTTTTGAGCTATAAATCTCATAAAATATTATCACTACGGTGCTACTATAGTTGCGGTCTACCGGGGTATTTACGCTGCAGTTTCCATTAGCCTAACAACCTAACCTAGGTTAGGTTAATGGACGCTATATCAGGGGCGCACACAGAAATTGAGTAGGGGGGGGTTTCCAAATTATTGAGAAGTCTGGCGAGCTTAGCGAGCCCTTTCAGCTGGGGGATCCTGGGGGGCGGTGTAAGCCCCCCGGAAATTTTTTTGAAATCTGATCAATATTTGACGCCATTTGCACTGAATCTTAGAAAATAATCTGAGGTTGAAGATGGTGTAATTTAGCATCCTAATCTTTGTATACAGACTTATATTACAAGTTAATAGAAGCCATAAATTTGTTTTAATATTCTATTTACACAATTTTAAAATACATGAATTTACTGCACTAAATATAGAGTATATAATATGGTTATTACTGTACTGAATGTGTAGCAATCATTAAGCATTTTAATACTTGTATATAATGACTAACTAACATTGAACACTAAGAGAGCTCATAAAATTTGCTTAACAGTTTTTGAACACCCGTAAAATACATTGCTTTTATTTTTCTGCAAGTACTGTGGCAAATTTCATCTTCCTGGGATTTCTCTGTGCAGATGTGTCAATTACTTGGTTTATATCCACTGGTATATCTCGGTGCATGTGCAGTAATGTCAGGCCTGTCAGTCTCTCATTCCCCATTGTTGATCTGAGTGTTGTTTTTATTCGTTTCAGTCCACTGAATGATCTTTCTGCAGAGCATGTCGTTACTGGCAGGGTGCACAGGATAATGAGCAGGGTCCTCACGTTGGGGAACATAAAACTTGGTGTCTGGGAGAGGGTGGTGGAAGTTACCGTGGCGTGGGGTGAGGTCAGGTCAGGTAAGCTGACCCAACCTTCGTGTTACTAAGGTGTCGCCTGGTCAAGTGGGCTAATCCCCATAAAAAAAAAGACGTTGTACAGTAGTTCGGCTCAACTGTACCTGTTGCGTGTGTACTGTACATATTAACATGGGGAACCAGCTCAATAATATGAATATTCCTGTTTTGGTTACCTTACCAAAATAAAAATGAAAATATTTCTTGAGACATTAGCTGGTCTTCACCATTTATGATTAAAATTTTCATTTGCTGTTTTTGTGCAGCTAGAGAATTGCCCAAATTCTCAAGAACAGAAGTGACTGCTTATATTTTGGTGGTCTTCGCTAGTCTTACTTCCTACGCCTATGGTGGATTCGTCGCTAAGTTCTCAAAGTAATAATTTTTTTTATCGCGTCAAAGTTTTTTTCGGTCGAGGAGACTTAATTTAACATTTAACTGCTGCAAGAGTTTTTATTTTATTGTTGTTGCGGATGACATTTCATAAACCTTCAATAGTGTCGTACTGTGACCAACCCTAGGCGTCTACTACTTATCTTTCAAAATGTTGCAAATTAATTGTCCGTCCGTCAGTTTACTAGTTAAGGTAATTATTATTTTATGATTATATACTGTAACTTCAAGATAACCACAAAGAAAAGTTATCAGTTACCTTATAAATGCAAATTATTGAATATTATGTTAAGTTATTCACAACCAGGGCCGTAGCCACCTCTCACTTCAGTTCAGTTTTTAACTTTTCCCAAGAAACGTTGATTGTGCATTCTGTGGAGAGACTAATGCCAATTAATTATGACTTTCTATCCATATTGAAGAAAGACACCAAAGGGTTGATGTAGGCCTTAAATACAGGGTAAGTTAAAGTTGATGGGTGGCTGGGGCATCTCTCTCAAACTCGGGAGCGTCACTCATCATGGAACTACAGTATCACCAACTCGTGTACACACAAACTAATACACAGAAAAGCTGAAGTTGACAAAATTTGGGAGTTGTATCTACATTTCACTGACTTCTGAACCTAGAACCAGACATTTATTGTCGTAAACTGAAAGAGTGAACGTTGTTCTCATTATGATCTGAAAAGAGCAAGGATTCAGGTGTACACCCTAGGTAATGGCTAGATTGAAATGTATTCAAAGTAACACATATCAACGAATGACACTATTTTTTTCTTTCATTACATATACGCTGATGAACGGCAAAATGCGACCCACCAAATACATAAAAACACAAATCATATTTATAAATTAAGTACTACTTCACTACACTTTTATTTCGCCGTACTGCATGTACTTTTACCGAGTATAAAGTGCAATCGCAGAGATCCAAGTTACAGTACTTCACTTTGCTGAACCAAGTTATGTAGTGAATAGACTAGTCCATTTCCGTAGACCTGTGTCAAGTTCATATAGGTCCCGCCCCCTTGACCTGCGTCACCACACCATGTGACCAGCCACCAATTTGAGGCCGATGCCAAGCTAGCAAGGCTAAAGATAACCCAAGAAATTAAAAGATGTACTTCTCACAGGTGGGGGAGACTTGCCACACTTTAATTTTTTTATTTTTCTCTTTATAGCGATAACGGTATATATAAATGTTATACACATGTTATTATCAGATATTTTGCTCTTGTATTTGTTTAATTTATTATAATCACAGTGAATTTAAAAAAGAAAAAATACTGTAATGTATCCACCCGAAATCAATTATTAAGCACAAAATAAGTGTAGACGGTTATTTATAAGTTATATAGAGATTAAATCTGACCTAGAATAATTTGCAAGCACATCTCATAATTTAAATATTGGGTCATTTGTATTTTCACAGTAAATTCGTCTGCTAATACAGTCAGTACATCTTTGGAAAGTTGAGGCAGCAGCGGGGGTTGGGTGACGTTTTGATGACGTCAAATAAAACTTGGCCTGTGATTGGTCGACGGAGATAGTATTAGTATAGTCGTCCTGTGGTGCCGGCGCTTCGGCCTCTTTCTCCCCACGGTTCTAGTTGGAAGAAGAACGCAGTACACACGACCGCTAAAATGGGGAAGGCACTAGATCCTTTAAGCTTCCTGAAGGATTTCCTTGCTGGTGGTATCGCCGCTGCCATCTCCAAGACAGCTGTAGCGCCAATTGAACGTGTGAAACTGCTACTTCAAGTCCAGGCTGCCTCCAGACAGATTAGTGCCGACAAAGCCTACAAGGGTGAGTCGCCATTTTGTTCTCTGATTTATAAGAATATTGGTATAAATAGCGAGATGTTAAGGATGGTTAACATCTCCTAAGACGAGCTATTATTTGTTATATATTGTTACTTCAGAAGTGAATTAACGAGAAAGTGTGGGTGGCCAAATATGGGTCGCGCTCGCCGGTGCATCAGCTGATACGGCCATCTTGTCTGTGCCTTTACCTTTAACTTGACCCATCAACATCTTCCTTCATTTCTATGTGTGTATCAGCTCTTATGTAGTAGTTTAATGTTCATAATTTCACAAAGAATGAATATAATAAGATAAAGGAAGAGGATGTTGGAAAAATGGGTTAGTGTAGGTGCTGCTTTGATTACGTAACGCTTTAATGGGGCCGGGCGGGGTGGGTTGCTCCTGTTACTTGTAGAGAAAAAGCTTTTCCCCATATAAGCGCCTTAATAAAGTTAAATGTATGCAATATAATTAAAACAAAGCCGTGGGAACATTTATCCATAAGCTTTATGACTGCGCAAGCCTATTGTAGCAGTAATGTATATACCGGTACTGTATATTTTTCAAGGAATCGGCGTTTCTTTCACGGAAATTAATTGGTACAAAGCGAGGCAGATGTTACTGAAAAAGCGTACAACTAATGGAGATGGACGCCATATTATATTCCAATACTAAGCTATTTTGTCTTTGAATCAAACCTCTTAGTTTAACAAATTTATTGACAAATCCTGGAGTACAGTTTGCCACCTCGGCCGAGCTAATTAACTTTATATAAATTTTTTTGGTGATAGTGATGCTATCTTGACTAAGTTATATGCTATATTTAGGTCACTAAACTATGTATATCAATATAAAGTGGCTCGGTGGCCATAATATTATGGCTACATTGTCCAAAGTCTTTGTGGGCATAAACTTAGGACACTAGGGTGGGTTATACATACATTAGGTGAACGTTGCATTCACTGAAAAAATTCAAATTTGCAATAGAAATGGAAGAGTAAAAGTTATTTCGGTTAATATATAGGACTAACCCGCCAGGGCTGCGTAGTGCTGATGCGGCCATATCATCTCACGTCCATAAGAGCCTCAAATTTCACCATATAGTAAGTTCTTTGTTTATTATACCGGGGAAGTTAGGTATCGTTAGGTTGGTTTATTTGGTTATCTCAGCTCAGCTCTGTTCTTCATAACCACAAATGTTAAGTAGCATTTATTTTAAAAATACCGGTTTATAAGATATTTCCACAAACTACAAGTGTGTCCACTATAATATAACAATGAAAATCCGGCGTTTTTATAATTGTTTTCAATAGGTTTTGCCCGCGGTATAGTCCAATATAATTACCGTTATTTCTTTGTCTCCCTATATAAGTTCTGGGGCTCCCCTTTTCTAATTCCTAACCGTTTCATCTTTCTGTGGCTTTTATGGTTAATTCAGATTTTTCTAAAAATGGAACTATCGTTTTGGTCTAACAGCGAATTTTAGGATGTTATCACTGTTCGAGGTTAGGTTGGCTTAGATTAGGTTGTGGTATTAGCGTTTCAGTCGTCCAGTCAATTTTAGTAGGTTTGGTTAGGTTGCATTTGAGAGGCAGTGCTGTGACTGATTTTTACTGGTTAGGTACCAAAGAGGTGGATGACCAAAATCATAATTTTAACCCAAAAAATATCTGACGTTCAGTTCTTGAGTAAGTGTTTTAGAAAAAAAATAATAATAATTATAGTTTCGGCCAATCGGTTAGGTTGGAAAGGTTTGAAGTGTTTTTCTTTTCTTGTGTTTTGCACGATTTGTACCTTCATATGTCGGAAATCACTAGTTTTTGTGATTTCCTCTATCCAAATACCGGGATGACCGATATTAAAATTTTACCGAAAACCTAAACTTGCGCTGTTAACTTTCTTGTTTGTAGACGCATATGCTTCAATGTGTGTAGTATTGCACCATTGTTTGGATTATGCATTAATTTATTGTATGAAAAAGAATGCAAACAATTGTCTCGCATCATGCCCAGGAGAGTGGGTGTAACTGAAGAACTCCCTGGGATAATTAAGAGAATACAGTACTGGGCCAGGATACTCAAAAGGTGAGAAACTCCTCGTAAGTTACACACTTACAGTATTCAAACCTTAAAAGCTGCTAAGTTTTATAAATCCCCATACTTTAAACAGTTTTGCAATGTTGTTAGGATATTCTTACTTGAATGTAAACATCGAGCGAATCTTCCTGCTGGCCGGTTGGCCAATCTGTTGCGCTTTCAAAACATACCAATCGGTTACAAGCAAAGGATATCAGCTGACTTAAGTATGAGATTTATAAACAGCTATGCTGGAGGAGATGAATGTGGTAAAATTATAGTTTCAGTCCCCCACCTATTTGAAATGAAGGTCGGAATCGTTAAGAACCTCGACAAAAAAAAAGTAATTTCTACCTAACTTTGCTGGATGTCCGAAACTGTAATAATACTGAAAAGTAGGAAATTTTCTTGTGGAAATTGGGTAATTTTATGGACCGTTTTCACTGATTTTTATTAGGATACTGTATTGTTGGGAAAAAATATAAAAATGGCTGAAATTGTGTGTGAACCTAACATATCTTAACTAGCCTATATCTAGAAAACTAAGGAATTACATAAAGTATTTGAATTGGAAGTAATCAGCGTGCTAAACTGTCTAAAAGCACCCTCATAATTACCGAACCGCTGACTGCCACGTCTTGTATATTAATTCACGGCACATTGTTTACATGTCACATAAGTGTGGTGAATTTCGTGGCTCGAGTACCAAGTGAGTGCAGAGAAAATTCACTTATTTGATGTCTGTCAATAAAAGAGCAGCTCTGGGAAATTACTTGCGTATTTCCCACAAACTTAACAAAACTATTAAATGTATGGCATTTCACAAAGATCACTAAAATTAAATATAAAAAATGTACAGTTCGAAATAAAAGACTTCATAAACACCGCTAAATGAATCGAGATTAGTCACGTAGTTTATAATGAACTGAAAAGTACAATTAATACGTAATAGGCCACCATAGCCGAACCTAATCGAGTAATCCAAGGTTACTATGTTAAAATTGTTTAAAATTTTTTATCTTCCTCATTAATTTCAAACTACTGTACTATAGTGCTTATGTTTGAAATAAAGAAGGTATGTATCTTTATATAATTTAGCTAAATATCTTTCATCAGAAACGGTCATCCCAACGATTATGAATACAAACTCATTTAGAAATACCTACATCTTTACTAAAGACAAAATCAGACAAGTTTGCAACAGCCAATCAGCTGTAACTCTTGAAGAGGGGGCAGGGCATTTTTTCTCAGCTGAGAAAAACACTATAGTACATTATTACTTGATTAAAAAAATTATTGGTGAAATCCCAATAGAAAAATGGGATCACCTGAAGATTTGCCTTACTATTAACCACCCTAATGCTAATATAAACTTAAACCTCCCCAAGTAGCATGGGGTAGTTTTAATCAGGTGAAACGACCAAAGGGGCAAATTTTCAGTTGAACCAAAAAAGGCTAATACTGACCTTACTTAAATACTGGTTAATCCTGGTTGTGGGGACTTTGAATAGTGGCACAAATCTTGTGTTTTACTGCCATTTTCTGTGCTTATATTGGTTAGTCTTGATGACCTGATACTGTAGCATTGTGTCCAGGTTGTCATTGGGCAAATTTAAAGCAAGTTGTATGGCTGGATAACCAACTTATTGCAAACTGATTATATATAGGGGACCTGGGTATTATATGCACAGTGATCTTAGCTGGCAAAGGAGGTAATCAGAGAATGTCTAAAGTACTGGTGTATCCCATTAGAAGGTTGTTATTGTACCATATACTGTACAGTATTTGTAGTCAACTGGGAATATGTTTGTTGGCTAATCTACGGACAAATCTCGTTATCCAGTACATTGTCTCAAGCAATGGCTAGATTAAAGTTTCTCACGACTTATTAAATTCTCCAGTTATTACAATAGGCAAGTGACTAGTTTTGTCCATACATGTTAGCCTCTGCCTTTTTTGATGGGCTGGCACTTATCCTTGCCTTTTGAAGTGTCCTATAGGTATTTTTTAATGCTCAAGGAATGCTAATCCAGTTGGGAGTGGGGAAGTGAGAGCTTTTCAGAATTTTTTTAAAAAGTTGGTATACATGAAGTGTCTTGGTATACTGTATTGCCAACAACTAACTTTACCTACTACTAAACTTAGGCGAGACATATCGCCTTTGAAGACCAGAAGAAAATATCTGGTATAAAGCCAGGAAATTTTGTAGGCCTTACGCCATTCTGTATCTGTTTATTACTAGGTAAATTTTTAGTATGCATCAGTTTATTCAAACTTCTGTATAGGTGTACAAATGTGCTCATGTCACTTGATCTTTGACATTATATACAAATATATTTTGATTAGCTTTGCGGTTTTCATTTTTTCTCCCCCAAAGAATACAGTAATTAGTGTACCAGTAAGCAAGAGTTCATTCTATTGTAGGTGTACAGTATTAGATAGTCTTGAAACAAAGTTCCATTACTCTTCAATGAAAACTTGTATAAACAAGGCTAAAGAGACAAACTGGTCTTTGAGATGTGTTGGTCAATTTCACTATTAATTACATGTATATTTTCTTTTTACAGGCATGGTCGACTGCTTTGTCCGTATTCCTAAAGAACAGGGTTTCCTAGCATTCTGGCGTGGTAACCTTGCCAACGTTATTAGATATTTCCCCACTCAGGCTCTCAACTTTGCCTTCAAGGACAAATACAAGCAGGTGGGTAAAAAGGCTTTTTGTGTTTTTTCATTAGAAGTTTTTATAAGTGTAGGCAAGTCACGAAGAGACCTCTTTGGGTCACAGTATGTTGCTTATTAGTGTAAAACATAATTCATTGTACTGGACAATAAAAATGCAGTAGCAGTACAGTGGTATATATAATTTTATTGAAAAGAATAAGAATAATCTGAGGTTATTAATTAAACATTTGCAGTTTCTTAAATCGATGATTTATTTCATAATGTAACTTGTAGGTGGATTCATATTTCCCAAGTCACATTTTTTAATACTGGAGAGTATCCTTTCAATTGTATACCAGATTATAGAATGTTGGATATTTTGGTACAGTTTGATGTCCAGTCCAAATTTCATATGCAGTTTTTGTGTAATGAATTCAGGTATGCTCTTAACTCTGAACACAATTGATCAGTGGACTACACAGTTTATTAAAAAGAAAAATCAACAAAGTAACCAAATTAAGGTGAAAAAGTGGGCAAGTTTCTAAAAGTTCTGAGCAGAGACTGACTTGCTCCTTCAAGCTTCAATGTAATCCGTTCTCAGCCTGGAAAAACTGAGATGGCCCTTTCATTCTCTGTCCAGTTGGAGCACTTCATTGTTCCCCTTAATAATAAAAAACTTCATCTGCTTAACTTTAATTTTGAATCTGATAAGTTAGCCATGAAGCTACAGTTGTGGACTTCACAAATATTATAGTTTGTAAGGTTCGTTTCTTTGTCTACTACTTTGATAGGATACAGCCAATCCAAAAAGTATAGACCCCCCTCCCCCCAGGCATTCATAAGCATATGAAACATTGGTCAAAGACTGGTACATACTGTAGGTGGGTCTAAGGTTAGCATTGATTTCCTATTTCACTGGACCCTGAGATCTTTCTCCTTTTGGGTTGGCTGTACATGTCACATTAGTAGTTGGAACATGACCACCACCTCTTTTCATCTAGCTTGCTATGGGTGTGCAAGTCACTTGGGGAGGGCCTTAGGTCTTGGTGAATTTTTTTTCCTGCAAACTGCTTTAACTGTCCAAGTGAGAAACTCCTGTCCAATTCTCCCCCCAGTTGGGTGAGCTTTGCCTCCTCGGAGAGTATGAAGCTTGGAATTTCAATATGGCTGACCCAGTTGACAGGCTAAGTGAACACATACTGTACTGATGTGATATGGGAATGGTCTTCTCAACAGAGTGAACTTGTGCTTCTGAGAAATCATGTTGGATTTTGATTGACTGGAAAGTGTAAAGAGGTAATAAATTAGTCCCATCCACTGTCTAAAAGAGTTAATTGGGTGCCCAACCTGTGGAATTGTTGCAGTGAAAATGGGTTATAAAAGAGGATTTATGGTTGAATCCTTTCTTAATGGTGAGATACCATAATTATTTCTGGGGATTTCTTTACTTTGTAGTTTTGGCCTGGCCCCATCTTGGTTTTATTCTTGTTATTTTCATACCTGCTTGCATGTTGATATATTGTATAGTGAATTTATAAAATTGTTGATTATAATCTGCTTTTTCCCCCACAGGTTTTCCTTGGTGGTGTTGACAAGAAGACTCAATTCTGGAGGTTCTTCCTTGGTAATCTTGCTTCTGGTGGTGCCGCTGGTGCCACTTCCCTGTGCTTCGTCTACCCCCTTGACTTCGCTCGAACCAGGTAATTTTAATTTTGTGACTTTGTAAAAGCATTCAGAATAATGGTCCTATTGACAAATCTTTGTCCACTTTTTTTGTCTAGCCAGGATGCACTGTTTACCTGGCAACTAGACTTGAGGTTATTTGCTTGGTCCTCAGGTTGTCTTGTATTCCAAGGGAAAAGTCTCCAAAACTCACCCTGCATGTTGAAGGTTAATCCTTGGGGGGAGGGGGGGGTGCTAACAAACTTAAGTTGGTAATAGTTAAGGATAATACAGTAGAAGAAAAGGATATTTATTACCTCGAGGATAAAGCTTATTGGATTAATAGCCTTTGTTAAATTTTTTTACTTGTTTACATGACGCATCAGGATGTTACTGTAATCCGATCACTACATAAGCAAAACACTGTACAGTGAGTTCTGCTATAACGCGTGTTTTGACAACGCGAATTGGCTCTAACGCGATTTATGAATAGAGGAACGATATTTGTATAACGCGAACGCTTGTTTGCTGTAACGCGAATTTTGCTCACTATTTCTCCAATTTTGTGGTATTAACTGTGAATATGGTAAAGAAGAATATCTCCAAGAAGCGTTCTGGTGATCGCATTCCTGGTGATGATCGTAAAAGAAAGGCTATAACCCTTGAAGAGAAGCTCGATGTTACTAACCTCAAAATCACCCTTCTCCCCCATCAAGTTATATTCATATTTTTTCAAGGTTAAGTGTTACATTTACTGTATGATTTCATTATTAGATATGAATGTAACATTTATTTAGACTGCTATCCATTGTTAGGCTAACTACTAAATTTTATTTGATTTCGAGTAGTAATCTGCACCTAACCCTATTTTCTCCATAAGCCCTGTTATTTCTATTACGCGAATTTCTATAACACGATGTTTTACAAAAACACAACTATCGCATTATAGCAGAACTGACTGTAGTAGACTATAACCAAGACATTGGTTCCAAGATGACTCCAGAATGACCCAGTACTATACAGTGTACTGTTTGTGGCTAGAAATTATTAAACAAAGAAAACTAGTGAGTACAGTACTTTAAAAATAAATTAGGAATCTTGACTAGTTAACATAAGAGTTGAGAGCTGATGCTTGATGTTTATACTGCACAGTACTTTATTGATAAATTGTGTTCTAAAGAGGATAAACAATCTTTTTCTTTTGTACGAAATTGAAGAATGCAGGAAATTATGTATTTAATACACCAAAATATTTTTGCAAAACAAATGCTATTGGCAGATGTAAACTGCTTTCATTTAATTCTTTTTTGTGAGTTTACAACTATGACCTCATGACACCCCAACCGAAATGGAAAAAATGTCCTGTTCAATGATGGTTGTTTGTCAAGAAATAAAAACTGAGGGAACTGTTAAAATAAGGTAATTTAAGGTATATGAGATTCAGTAGCACTGATGAGGAAGCTGTGGCTGCTTCACATTTTTTTCAGATATTCAATGTAAAGTTGAGGCTGCATTTTCTATGGTGGTGCACCTTAAATGCTGGGAAATTATATTTTTATGATCGACAGCTAAATGTGTAGGTGGTATGTTAGAATAGCGTGATGGAAGCATTAATGTAATGTACTACCCAAAATTTGGTGACATTTGAAGGTTATGTAAAATGGCTGTTGAAGGATAAGAGTACGGTACTGCATAGTATTAGGAAAGGAAATTGTCTGGAAACAATTTAATTTACAAGGAAAGAGAAATGCCTGGTAAAACAGTTGAAATAAGTTCTAAACCTGAATCATTACAGTGTGGCTGGAAACTCCACTCCAATTTTCCTGCCGTTTGTACACTTACTGTTGTAATTAATGTTCTGGTTGAAAAATAACCATAACATAACCCCCCCCCCAAGCTCATCCTACTAACTCTTGCTGGCACATGAAGAAATAATTATTCACCAAGTTTTTATGGTAATTTTTTCTTGAAATTCTGTGAGATTGTGTGCATGTAACTGAATAAAAAAAAATTGACATTGTGGTTATGTACCAGAAATGGAGTTGAAAAAATCAAACCAAACATAACTCACACCTCAACCTGGTAGGGAGGGAACTAGGGTGATGTGGCCCCCCTAGCTGACTCCTGGGTGTGCACAATTTTGTTTTTTCCGGGACCCAAATTCGTATAAGCGAGAAGCTTTTGTAATATGAAGAGGTGGCAATTTAGGGAATTTGTATAAGCGAATTTTCATATCTCTAATGTTCATATACTGTGGGATACCTGTACTTTGAAATTGGGTGTCTGAAACAAAACTGTAGGAATGGTTCTATAATAGTACAGTATGGGGCAGAGGATCTGTAAGGGTGCCTTGAATTTAGGCTCTCCTACATTGCTGTTATCCATTAATTCTTCTGCAAAGGTGTTTGTGACAAATCTTTATTTGAAGTGCCATTGTAATATTTTACCCAAGAGATTTTTAGTAAAACTTCACTAATTTTATCACTTGAAAAAATTTACTCTATAAATTTATTATTAAAAAAAATTGCAAATAAATACTGGTAGGGCAAGATGAACTTTGACAAATCACTTAATTTGTTCACAGGTTGGCTGCTGATATTGGCAAGGGCCCCGAACAGCGTGAATTCAAGGGGCTAGGTGACTGTATTGGAAAGATCTTCAAGGCTGATGGCCTCATGGGCCTCTACAGAGGCTTTGGTGTCTCAGTTCAGGGTATCATTATTTACCGTGCTGCCTTCTTTGGCTTCTACGACACCGCTAAGGGCATGTTACCTGAGAAGAGTGGTGGTCTTTTCATTTCTTGGGTAATTGCTCAGACTGTAACCACCATCTCTGGCATTATCTCTTATCCATTCGACACTGTACGAAGGCGCATGATGATGCAGTCTGGACGTAAGGGGGGAGACATCATGTACAAGAACACCATCGACTGCTGGAGGAAGATTGCTAAAAATGAGGGTGGTTCTGCCTTCTTCAAGGGAGCCTTCTCCAATGTTCTCCGTGGTACTGGTAAGTAGAGTAGTGTATTTTAGTGGTAAGATTTTTCATTAGTGTACTGTACACTAAAAAATTTGCCGTTCTTGCAGATTTTTTTGTGTTCTAAAGTAGGGTACCTTGAATTTAGGCTATTTCTACATTTGCTGCCAGCCATTAATTCTTCTGCAAAGGTGTTTGCGACAATTTTTCTACGCCATACACCCATTTCTGGTTGTAATTTACTACAAACATCCTTTTACTAAATAAATGTGTTTATACCACTGTAACAGAATTTATTTGGTCTTGCATAATACTTTTTCACCGTTTCTGTGTTCAGTATTTTTTTTTATTTTTCACTTTGCTTTCAAGCACCACATTTGTCACTTTACCTGCTTGGACACCTCGCATAACATGAACTTGCTTCAGGTCTTACCTCCATTCCCTACACCAGGGGTTCTCAAACTTTTTTCAACCAAGGACCCCTTATATACCATAACCCATACAAATGTCAATAATCAAAGAATAAATCGTAGTCCAAAGCATTTGTTCATTTCAACCCAAATCCAAAATATCCTGCGAATTGGAATCGCCAAATCTCTCGCAAACGTTAAACGCACTATTTCTCAAACTTTTTGCAGACCCCAGTTTGAGAATCACTGCCCTACACTACCAATTCCATTCTTAAATTGTTCCTTCAACAACTATTGATACATGAAAGCTCAGCCTTTGATTATTAGAAGTCTTTGCTAATCTACCTCTTTTGTTTTAGCTCCCATTTATTCATTCTCTTTAACCCCTTTTATTCTGAATTGCCCAACAAGCAGATTTAGTACTATACGTACTATATATATATTACAAACTTGTACTTCTGTACGTCCTAATACCTAATGCAGTACAGTATAATTTTGGTACAGTTGGGCATCACTCCATATGATGGATGGTCTTAACTTTCACTAGGAAATGCTTCCTTTAGGGTACACTTATTACTCGTTTTAATACAAACTGTTAAGCAACATTTTGCAATTCATATATTTTGTACATTCTCTGTGTACTGTATTAATACTTGATTGACACCTCTCTTCAATATGCCCTTATGCTAGATCAATTCTCTCAGAACTTGACCATGTACACTCCCAAGTACTCTTAAACATAAGACTCAAATATTTTGTATTTACCTTCTCATTTTTGCAGGGAATTACATACTCTATACCATTCTATGTGGTACATTGTTAGGCTGTCTTTACATTTCACACTTGCTTTTTCATCTCCATTTTAAATTTTTTTACATTGGTTTAATCCTCACTTGGTACTTAACTTTTGTCAAGCTCCTGTTTGTATCTCCTACAATTGACATGGTTTCACTGTTCACCTTTGCTTTCTCTTAAATTTGGAATTTGTTTTCCATCCTTCAAAACTTCAGCTGCTGATGGCATAACAAGCCATTACAGTATTTTATTTGATATTTTAATCAAGACATGTTTGAAAGATTTAATAATGTTCAGTATTGTGAAATGTATAGGAATTCACATAATAAATCACTATTTCAATAAGGTTATAAATTGGGAGAGCAAGTATGATACCAAGAGTGCATACAGCAATATTAATCCATACTTTGCTTCTACAATCCCAATCCTTTTACACGGTCCCTCCATACTGGTCAGGTTTACGTACCCTTTAATTAACTCGCCATTAAATGGGGATGTCTTTTTCCTGTGGCTTTTGGTGTTCTTGGTTTGCCTCGACCCTCATTTCTCCCTCGTACTTCAGTTTTGTCGGTGTTGAATTAATACTGTATTTCAAACTTATACAGTTTCTATTGTTTCTTACTGTATACTCAGGCTTTCACCATTGCAATAAGTGTAATTATATTGCAATACTGTACTGTACAAATCCCAATTTTCTTTTTAACAGGTGGTGCCCTTGTGCTTGTGATGTACGATGAGATCCAGTTAATTCTGTTCGGCAGCAAGTCTGGCGGTGGCGAATAAACTCTTAACTCAAGCCTTGATAACGGCCTGCTTGAGTGACTGTTTGGGGCAGACACAAATTATGGAGGAGGGAAGGACAGGTTTAAGGGCCAAGCATGTACAAATCACTTGTTTAAGCCCAATAACCTGTACCCAGTGTGTATAGTCTATAGTTCCATGAACTGTATTTACTGTCCAGGAAATAGATCTACAGAATGATGGCCCTTGTTCATATTTTATATTCAGTTAAATACCCACGAATGGGGATTTAGAATATAGTTTGTACAGAATCACTAACTGCATCAGCCACATCGTCACGAATTTTCAATGGCAAAACCATTCCTGTAATAAATTATCATAAGTTAAATAAAAATTGTAAACAGACACTTAATTGTTTTTGTCCTAACTAGATGTTATAAAAGCTAATTGAATGCAATTGTAAACCTTGGTTGTGTAGAACAACCTATTAATGGGTAAATAGCTTATTGTCTAGTAGGATACAGGTATATAATTGTGAAGTCTGTACATTATTTTCATTGAAGATATTGATTTGATGGTACATGATGCTTTCACTTATTTTTTAATGAAGTTGGGAGAAATGAAATGGTAACTATACTGAATTTATGGTCAATGAATTCCCACTGCAATTTGAAGGTACAGTACCCATGTAGGATAATTGCTGAAGACTGTCCTATTGCACTTTAGTTTAATGTGCACAGACCCATAACCAAGCGAAATACAAAGGGTAAGATTGAATCCACCTTGGTGTTTAATGTGCTGTAGTGTAGAAGTTTGTTTTTAGATGGCTGTCTCGTGTCTGCACATGGCCAAGTTGGGTAAAGTGCGCTTTTCACTAGAGGGGTGCAAGCTAGTCCTAAAGTATATTATTAGTTTAAAAAATAAAGTATCGTATGAACTAGGTTTATGGGTTCCAATGAACAAATTATCACGTTTTAAGAAAATATGGACATGGTTAAAACCCAACCCTTGGTCTTGAGTTCATAGTGACCCATAGACATTTTGCATTCACTTAATTATGTTAAGAGACTTCATGTTTTGTGACTTTTTCTAATATTCTGAGGGTAATGCAGTACTGTATATGGTACAAATTACAACCAAAAAAGTTGATAGTTTTTGTGCCAATGAAAAAGTAGCAGGTCATTGATGAACTTGTATCACCATCAGCCAGAAACTTGAAATATGGCTCAAATTTCTGCAGGCACAAAACAAGTGGAGTCAAGTCAAGGCTAGTTATGAATCGTCTCGCCATTGCAGTTCACATTAATTTATAAATATTTTTACAGAAACCGTTCACACTGGGAGAGTCGAGTTGATTCATGAATACAACCAGACTCATTTTTTCGTCAGTCATCGGGAGTCTGTTGTGGTGGAAACCACCACCTGCAGCTGAATGATTTTGATAAATCTTGTTCAGGAGTGTCCTGCTCTCTCATGTTTTGTTATTCTGAAGAAATTGTAGAATTTGCCTGGATGGTTCACCAAGTCTGGGAATAAATGACTAAAGGCACCAAAATTTGGTCTTTAGGTGCTGATTTCATGTATCCACAATCGAGTTCTCCTACGGCGCCGAACCCACAATAGAGCATATAGTTCATTGAGTGAGTGAGTCCATACTGCTCGAAATCGGGCAGGGTACTGACAAACCTGACTTGTTTTGACTCGCTTGGTGTGAATGGGAATGAGTCAAATGACACTAATGAATCTACTCGACTCATTTGGTGTAAATGCAGCCTTAGAGAGTATATTGATTAACCCTTGAGAGGGCAGCCCCACAGTTATTTTATTCTGGCTAATGCCAGGTGATTTTATCAAGCTGAGAGAAACTTTCGGACTTCTAAAGCATTCAGTGATATATGGAATATTAAGGTTCCATTGCCAAACCTAATGATAAAGCTAATAGATTCAATCTGGCTTGTCCCAATTAAAAAAATGCCCTGTGTAAGTGCACAGGCTAGTTTTTGGGCGTCCCATTTCATATTGTGTAGGGTAAAGTGCCTAAGTATTACAGCACCCAACAAGGATTCATGCAGAGTTTGTGCTTGCTGCCTAAGTTTTAGATGAATGGATGGATGAGAAAATGCCTATGGGTTCATTGGGTGTGTTAGCAAGTTACATGTACAGTGCTGAAGAAGGGTTAAATGTACAGATTCGTCTGTTTATAGCAGCGTGGTTGTAACCTAATGTACAAGATATGTGAGTTGAGTTGCCCAAAAAATTTAGTGCAATCAGGCTTTGGGTTGTCCATGTTTTCCAGGTGGTACCTATTATCCAAGGTGCAGTCTCGTATCCACATTCTGTATCGCATTAAGGGGCAGATACTCTTTGAAATGAGAGTTGCCATTTCCAGCTACTGTGTTGTGGTGCAGTGTGTGACTTAAATCATATTTTTAAGGCCAGTTTTATCCGAGCTTCACGTGTAGTCTTAATTCAAGATTTGTGGTTGAGGGCGAGGGTGGCTTCTAAGTCCTTTTCATACCTACTGCTTTGGCAAGGGAATTGAGTGTTGCAGGCAGCAATTCCTATTTGAGATGAAATCAAAAAGAATTTTGATATATTTTCAATTTCATCTAGCCCTGTGAGAATGTTGAATGACAAGGAAATAGGGGAAGGCTTCGAGCCTCGCTAGTGTTGATGTATTGGCACTCCTGATGAGGTTCCATCTTTGTGCTGGCATAGATTGTGCCATCAGCCACTTGCAAGGATAGCTATGCTTTTAGTGTGTTTGGAGGAGGTCCAGTCAGACTCGAATCTTCCTGTGAGTAATATCATGACCCTCAAGGATCACCTGATATGCAAATACCAAAGGCCTTAATCAACCTGGATAAAGGTGCTCATTAATGCATATAGTACAATGCTTAAATCCTTCGGGTGGTGCCTCGCGTGTCTGGTCTCGTGTTTGTGCACAAGAAGCCAGAGTAGTGTATTGAACTTGGTACAGGTTGTCTGTTTTCAGGGGATTGCACATAAAAGTTATGCCTTCAAAGAAACACTTTCAAGCTTTACAGATCTCTTACCCAGTTTTAATGATGGAAGTTAATTATCATACTTGGCAGTCATGACAATCATTAACAAGAGTGCCTAATTAAGGTTTAAACATAAGAGCCAGTTCTAATATCCAAGTGACAATTACGCTTGAAATGTATTAAAAAAATACTTGTACCAACAAAAAATAGTTCAGAATAATATTTGACAAATGAGCTAAAACATTAAAGACAGCAAGAATTTATAGTGGCACTTCTATCTGATTAGGTGTGCGGGGTCAAGCTTACATATTTCTTTTCCCTTATCCTACGGTTCTAATCTTACAACCAGCCACTTAATGGATCGGCTCCAGGCAACCCAGCTGCAGAATGGGCACCCAACTTTCCTTGACACGAGGGAAAATAATTGCAGTATCGTGCACTGGGACCCACTCATTTTGAAATCCTAATACAGTAACATCAATCAATAACTCGAGATACTCGAATGTTAACACATGCTTAATTATTAATTTTCTTTTATATTAGGCGCCATTTTATGCGTATTTGTCACAAAAAGCTATTAAAAATAATAATTTCCAAGTTAAAGAAATAGTTTTTGACATTAATAAAAAAAAACTTTTTGGGGGTTTAAAAAAATCGACTTGCTGATGAGGAATCTGAGTTTAGACTTTTTTTTCCTATAAGTTTGAGATGGTGTTTTCACTTCCTTAGTATTTAAAATAAAGCACTTGATCCATTTAAATAAGTTAATTTCCAATTTAAAGACAATTTTCATTTTGCCAAAGAAACCACCTAGTACAGTACCTTACATTTTAGCAAATACATTTTTTTCTCAATTTCTCAACTTAGATCTTCGCAAAAGAAGAAATTAAGAATGTACATACTGCAATACACTTTAAATAAAGTATTTTTTTTTTTACCTGATGGCCACTCAGATCATAGGTGGCCATGATGAGAGGAGGCGGCTCTGTGTAGGATCGCTCCATTGTTCCTGAAAGTATTGTCAAGGACTATTTTGAAACCCAGTTCAATATTATTCTCATTTCCAAATCCAGTCTAAAGAAAATTTGTTGACCAGTGGACAAAAACACGACCACTGGTCATATGCTCCCTTATTCGAGCTCATTACACATTGAAAGTATGCAGACGTGCATGTGTTTCCTTTATTTTCTTAATAACTGATTATAATTTTGAAGTTTAGAGTGGGATTGTAAACGTGTAAGTGTATGGTTGCTACTCAAGCTACAAAGACGAGGGAATATTACTTTCCACAAATTTCCCAGTAATGAAGATATGGGTTTACCTCTGCAGAAGGCAAAGACTCCATTTATTTTTATGATTTATGTAAACAAAGCAGTAACATTGTACTGTATGTAGTTTGCATTTTGAACATTGTGTGTTTGATAGAAATTTGAAATAAGTACTACTCGGTCAGTAAATACCAAAACTTCTAGTAAGAAAGGTTCAATCCTACTACAATTACCTACAACACAAGGTAAGACAATACTAGTAAGATATGGTATAACTACAATTTTAAACTTATAACTGATGTTATGCTAAATCTATTATTCTGTTGGTTCATGCTAACGGAAATGATTGACATAAGTTATGAAGTTGACAGACGTGAACAATAAACCGACAGTCTACATATAGTTTGAGAATGTAACAATTGGAGAATGACATACCACCAACAGTTATTTTAGATTGTCATTCGATATGTGTTCTGTCATTCGGTTATGAAATTTGTCAAATATTTATGTAACGATGTCTCAACGGATATGTGAAAAGGTGTACTGGGCATGCATCAGCTCTTGAATGTACCTGAACCCGCTCCAGTGTTGGTCAAGTCTGGTCTTGAAAGAGGTCACACTCGGTGCCGTCACAACACTTTCTGGCAGATTACCTCTGTCCTGCGTGGCAGTGAGAAGTGATACCACCCTCGGTGTCAAGACCTAACTGAATTACTCAGAATAGGCAAACTGTACTCCAAGCTTTGTCAATAAATTTGTTAAACTAAACTAAAACTCGCCCAAAGACGATCCGTCAACATCCCGGAAACCACGCCACACCATGGGTAATAGGTAGGTGTCTGTTACATTTAACGGTACATATTAAATAGTAGTAGATCACTAAATATTCACTACGCATAGTCTAGGATTTAATTACGTACCAATACAGACCAGCGTTTGTGTAAATGACTAGTTCTCTTTGGGCATAGTAGGTTGTTGGCCTAACAATTTTTTCGAAGATATGACGTTCCTGGAGGAAGAGTTTGTAGTAAGAGTAAATGGTAACCTATGTGGCTGTAAAGTATTTTCAAGGACTTAAACAATAATCATTTTATCACTAATTAATTTGTATATTTGCTTGAATTTTCGGTAACC